GAATTGTGAGTTATGTTGAGAGCAAGAAGGATCACTGGTATTCGGGTCCCATGGTTGTGTTGATGAACATTGAGGACATTAGCAAGCTGAAAATGTCGGTGTGGCTTAGACACAGGATGAACTTTCAAGACATGGGGGAAAGGTGGTTGCGAAGGGCTCAACTGGTTGACGAGATGGTCAAATTGTTCAAGGAATTGGACATTGACTACAGGCTCTATCCTGTGGACATTAACGTCCGGGCTATGCCTACCATTCAGTCCACTCGACTTCCACCAAAGTGGCAGCCTCCATCCCCCCATTCTGATCCATCACTTTAATTTGACAGTACATGTATATTATTTTTTAATTATTACTGTATTATTAGGGAGTATCAATATGATAATATTTCATGTAAACTGTAACTTTTACGTTATAGATGCTATATTTCACGTAGTATTGCAATTGCAATCATTACTAAATTTTGAAGTTACACATATATGGTATATGGTTCCATGCATGGCAGTTACCCCCATCTTTTTATGAAAACTAGAGCAATGTGTCATTCCATGTGTTACTCTGGAATCTTTAAAAGTACTTTAAAGAAAATGATATTGCGCCCTTAGGGCATCTCCAATGCATGAGTGGATTGGTGTTCCAACTCAGCATGCAAGTGCACTTTCTATAATAAAATCTACTCTCCCAACATGTTTTTCATCCTCGAGATTTATGCATAATCCTTATAAACCCTAGTATACTGACTGAAAAGAAGATGTTACATCTCATCTGAAACTTCTATTCCATCTGTGAAAGAGAAAACATGATAGGTCAGTTACGCTAGCTCATCCTTGTGGAAATGTTTGGAGTTCCTATCAAATATTTTCACCAATGAAAGCTTTGTCTATATACTATACCTTACCCTCTCCTTCATCTTTTGTGTTCGATTCGTCCCACTAAGATTGTCCCATATCAAATTTGATAAAGTTTGTGGTTCTAAATTATTTTATAAATGATGTTATGATATCATTAGTTTACTGTAGTAGGATTATTGATAATTCATCACTGATAAAAGATTACTTCATACTGAAAGTAGCATACGGATCCATGTTACAAAAGTTGAACAAAGTATCCAATTCTCTTTATAAATTATCTCCATAGATTCTCACCTTAGTGTTTATTATAGAGTCCTACATATATGTATTTGTAATTATGTTAGAGGAAATTTTTACTTGGGTTGTTTTCACTCCCTGATCAGACCAAAAAAGGCCAGACTTATTAGAAAGTTGTAAAATACACATATATCAGAATTCACCCGATCAAATCAGACCAGTTCAAACCAGACTAGATTAAATCAAACCATGCTAGAAAATTTCAGTCCAATAAAAAACACGCATTTCCACAGTTATCTTAAGTTGTACCTATAACACTATTCACATACTTAGTTATATCCTTAGACCTTGGTGATGTATCTTAAAAATGCTCGGTGTTGTACTTATCTTTAAGCTTTTAATTAATGGATAGCTATCTTAAAAATAGAGTTGCACCTTCAGTAGTTAATTATCATTGCTTTATTGACTAACATTTTTACTTCATAAGGGCAAGTGTATTGCAAAAAGATGAAGTGGACAACCGATTACCAAACCGTTTTTTTTTTCTGTTTTTACCGAACCAACCCGAATCAATTCGGTTCGGTGTATGAAAATGGACGACAAAAATTTCGGTTTATCGAAATTTCCGTTCGGTTCGGTCCGGTAATACCGAATGAACACCCTTGGTGTATGCTACTTATATTCATATTCATACTACGTATTACATTTCTGAAAAAAAAAAGTTTAAGAACCCGTTTGATGACCTTATTTTTCGATTATCAGTCTTTTCAAATAATTTTTACACCAAACATGTAACTTTTGATTTCGCGAGTTGAGTGCTGTAATAATCAAAATACATAAGGTTGAAGTTGTTTTTCTAACTGATTCGCTGAAATTAATGAAAAATGACTATTTTAATTATTTTTCATTTAAATTTTTCTTTATTTTGTTGATAAAATATGTTTAAATATAATGTTTCAGCAGAATTTGATGACTCGGTCAGAACTTCATGAATTACAGCAGAATCAGCCGATTCAATCAATTCCAATGTTACAAACACATGATCTATGTGTACTTAAAATATGCCGTTCAATATATTTACTTCTTTAAATGTTTTATGTTTGCTTATTTTGACTTCATGCTTTGTATAAATTTCACATTTCCAGATGATCTCAATTAACTTTAGAAATACGTTGTTCCCCGTGCAACGCACGGGTAAAAGACTAATTTCATGTAAACTGTAACTTTTACGTTATAGATGCTATATTTCACGTAGTAAGGCAATTGCAATCATTACTAAATTTTAAAGTTACAAATATATGGTTCCATGCATGGCAGTTACCCCCATCTTTTTATGAAAACTAGAGCAATGTCATTCCATGTGTTACTCTGGACTCTTTAAAAGTACTTTAAAGAAAATGATATTGCGCCCTTAGGGCATCTCCAATGCATGCGTGGATTGGTGTTCCAACTCAGCAAGTGCACTTTCTATAATAAAATCTACTCTCCCAACATGTTTTTCATCCTCCAGATTTATGCATAATCCTTATAAACCCTAGTATACTGACTGAAAAGAAGATGTTACATCTCATCTGAAACTTCTATTCCATCTGTGAAAGATAAAACATGATAGGTCAGTTACGCTAGCTCATCCTTGTGGAAATGTTTGGAGTTCCTATCAAATATTTTCACCAATAAAAGCTTTGTCTATATACCTTACCCCCCCCCCCCCCCTCTCTATTTCTTTTTCTTCAATTATTTGAATGTTTCTGTTTGACTTAACTGATGATGCCAACTTTGGGGTTATACATGATATTATTTGTGTTTACAAGTTATGTGGTTGTGTAATTTTTGTGTGTTAAGATACATGTTTTGAGGTGACATGATTGTATCAATTGTCACCCATGGTTATTAATGTTGGTGAGAACTCCGGTACCCATTTAAAAAATGGGCTATCGTTGTAACACTTGAGATTTAATATAAATGGATTAATAGTACTACTCATACCAACAAGATGCATCTCCTTTTAAGGGAGCTCATCCGCTAAGAACTCCAAAGTTAAGCGTGCTTGCACGGGAGTAGTCTTGGGATGGGTGACCCCCTGAGAAGTTTCTCAGGGCGCGCACGAGTGAGGACAAAGTGCGCGTAAAAGGCTAGTGGCGGTTTGTGAGGACAGTACTATTGGTCCGGAGTAATTACCTCGGGTCCTGCGGGGCTGGGGTGTTTCAAATGGTATCAGAGCAACCCTGCGACAGTGTGCTGATCCGTTGGATATCGGGCAGACACCTAGCATGGGAAAAGTTTCTGGGATTTGATTGAGATTGGTTTAAGCGCGCAACGAGGACGTTGCGATCCTAAGTGGGGGTGATTGTAACACTTGAGATTTAATATAAATGGATTAATAGTACTACTCATACCAACAAGATGCATCTCCTTTTAAGGGAGCTCATCCGCTAAGAACTCCAAAGTTAAGCGTGCTTGCACGGGAGTAGTCTTGGGACGGGTGACCCCCTGGGAAGTTTCTCAGGGCGCCACGAGTGAGGACAAAGTGCGCGTAAAAGGCTAGTGGCGGTTTGTGAGGACAGTACTATTGGTCCGGAGTAATTACCTCGGGTCCTGCGGGGCTGGGGTGTTACAATCGTACCTACCATTCATTTGATTGGTCCACATAGGTATATCATTTTTAACGTAGACTTAAATAATTCAACTCCAATATTTTAATTGGTCCATTTGAACAAAGGTACGGTACTTTTTGGGTACCATAGAATCTACCATTAATGTTTGCTAGCATTATGATGACAATATTCATGTGTGATTGCTGGGTTAGTGTTATACCAAATGTGTGTAGTTCTTATGAATGTGTTAGATACATGTTGGAGTTGATAAATGTTGGTGTGTGAGATACATGTTGGAGATTATATATTGGACTATTATAATGTACGAGAAGTTATTAGATGACAACCAACTCACCCCACCCCACTACTATCCCACTCGCATACCTCTTTCCCCTATCCTCTACTTAACCCCATCCCTACTACCTACATCGGGGCCCTTATCTCCGCCTTATGGGGCGGTGACAAAGGGTAGGGGTAGTGGTTAGGGTTGGAGTGGTTGTAAGGAGAGTAAAGTTTTTGAAGGTTATAATTGGAATTTATTTATTTATTTTGGTAAATTGACATTTTTTATTTTAAAGTTAAATCATATTTAAACAAATGCACCAACCTTACCAAGTAAACATGCATTGATTAAGCACCTCTGGTGAACGGTGGGTGAGTAAAACATTTTGTAATAAACAGTGTTGGCTAGACTATTTACAATGAATAATGCCAAGAACTTATAAACTATAGACAAGTTTGAGGATTTATTTTATTATTGCATTTTCTGAGTAGTAAATTTCCTTTCGCTCCGTAATACATAAAGAACTTCATAATTTTCTCTAGTAAACCCATGAAGGCCTGGCCTTAAAAGTGACATGTGACACTTTCCGGTTCGATCGAGCCAATTATATAGACGAGTTAGAGCTCCATTTTTGTTGAAAAAGTCTGGCCTTACCGACCCGTTAATTAATTAAATTGTATTAAGCCTAGCCTATTGTTCTAAAACTCGCTAGACGCTAGTCGGGCGGTTGAGAGGCATAACGCCTAGGCAGTCGATTAGACCGATTTTTTGACCGACTAGACCGACTAGGCCTATACAGTTACGACCGACTAGGCCAATTAATTATCCGACTAGGCCGATTTTTCGAACAATGGCCTAGCCCAAACAAGTTCATACCCATTAACAATCCATACCGTTAATGAGCCCTGTACATATCAAAATCGGAATCGGTAAAACCCTTGGACCAAAGACCATATCAGTATTTATCCGCTTCGGGTCCAATTTGGATTGACTTGTCCAGTTCGGTCTGGTTTTTGGACCCGGGCCAGATCGTGCTCAGCCCTATATATATGTATGATTCCGTGGCCTAATAATAATTGTTTAAAAGTAGAAAAGTTATTAGTTTCTTTTTCAACAACCCTCACCCAGAGTTGGCCATATTTTCAAATTGGGATCATATGCAGTCACGTGTCCTCTACAATAAATAAATGAATAAACGGCAACATAAAACTCCCACTACAGTATGTGTAATAGTGGGAATGCGCCTATAACTTGGCCTCTTCTGACTCTGCCCAAGGAATGAATGAATGAATCAATCTTTTTTCTTCATAACTGTTCCCGTTAATTAAGTAATTAAAAAAACGCCAATTTTGCCTCCCCTGAGATGGACCCTCTCACTCTGTTCTGCACCGCCGCCCTCATCGCCGGCGGCGTCTACTGGTTCGTTTGCATTCTGGGCTCCGCCGAGCAGAAGGGCAAGCGCGCCGTCCACCTCTCCGGCGGCTCCATCGACAAGGACAATGTGCAGGACAAGTACGACCAGTACTGGTCCTTTTTCCGCCGCCCCAAGGAGATCGAGACGGCGGACAAGGTCCCCGCCTTCGTCGACACCTTCTACAACCTCGTCACCGATATTTACGAGTGGGGGTGGGGCCAATCGTTCCACTTTTCCCCCTCGGTTCAGGGGAAATCGCATCGCGACGCCACGCGCCTCCACGAGGAGATGGCCGTGGATCTGCTCGGCGTGAAGCCGGGGAGCCGCATTCTGGACGCCGGCTGCGGCGTGGGAGGCCCGATGCGCGCGATTGCCGCCCACTCCGGCGCGAAAGTCGTGGGGATCACCATCAACGAGTACCAGGTGAAACGGGCCCGGATGCACAACAAGAAAGCCGGGCTGGATTCCCTGTGCGAGGTCATCTGCGGCAACTTTATGCAGATGCCGTTCCCGGACAACAGCTTCGACGGCGCGTACTCGATTGAGGCCACCTGTCACGCGCCGCAGCTGGAGGACGTGTACAAGGAGATCTACAGGGTATTGAAACCCGGATCCATGTACGTTTCGTACGAATGGGTCACAACCGAATCGTACCGACCCGAGAACCCGGAACACGTCGAGATCATCCACGGGATTGAGAGGGGGGATGCCCTGCCGGGGCTCAGATGCTACAAGGACATCCCGGAGGTCGCCAGAAAAGTGGGTTTCGAGGTGGTGAAGGAAAAGGATTTGGCAAAGCCGCCGTCGAACCCGTGGTGGACGAGGCTGAAAATGGGTCGGATCGCTTACTGGAGAAACCATGTCCTAGTGACCATACTGTCATGGCTCGGAATAGCCCCCAAGGGGACGGTGGATGTCCATGAAATGCTATTCGTCACAGCTGACTATTTGACGAAAGGAGGAGAGACCGGAATATTCACTCCAATGCATATGATTCTGTGCAGAAAACCTGAAGAGGCCAGTTCTACTCCTGCCCCGGCTTCAGATTAGCAGCAGCAGATGGAGGTTAATTTAGTTTCTACCTGTTATCTGTTTTCTTCTTTGGTTATGAATGAATGAATGTGTTTATTTTCAATTTGGGTTTGTCTGGTTTAACTTATCAATTGTTGTAGTGCTATCAAATTCTATGCCTTGAATTGCTGGATTCAGATTTCTTATCCAATGTCATATTCAAATTTCTGGGCCTGAAATAGAAAGGAGCAATCTTTAGTACATGTTGTTAGAAGGAAAGGCATCTTTTTTCCAAGTTGTTTCTTCAAATCATAAAGGAGCAATCTTTAGTACATGTTGTGAGAAGGAAAGGGCATATTTTATCCTGGTGGTATCATCAAATCATAAAAGATGCTTTTTTTAAAGTGTTTGCATGCGTAGAGTGACCCAAGAAAACTCAAATACACACTTGGATCTCTCAACTCAAAAGAGGGAATAGGTGCTCCCACAGTCTCACACCAGGCTTAGAAAATTGGGAGGGAAGGGTAAATGAAGTTTTAACCGCACACTATTTTTTCAAAAGAATGGTTTAAGAGTTTGGTGTGTATAAGGAGTTAAACTCTCACACATTTGTTGTTTGTGGGAATTACAGATTTTAACTCGAGCAACCAGTGCGAGTACACACTAAAATCTCTTTGATTATTGAGTGGGTTGATTGCATGTTCTTTTCGACTCCGCGTGCCCCTTAAAACTAGTCAAAGTTTAATTGACACGGGATTAATAAAGTACAAATTGTGTGATAGACGTTTGTGCAGCAAAAAAAGAATTAGCTAGAACTATAAACTCTCCTTTAAAAGAGAAAATTGTAAAGTTAATAGGACATGAGACAATTTAAAAGAGAAAGTTTAGGCAAAATTTAGACGAAGGAAAGGGAAGGAAGTATATCATCAGTTGGGCTCATATTGTCATTCATTTATTGAATGATAAAAGGGTGTTATTCCCTGTTAACATTACTGTTATGTTTTAAAGCGAAAGTGTCATATTTGGGTGGTTGCAAACTAAATTTTGTTAAGTGTAATAAATGATCGTCACATATGATATATCCTATTAACAAATATTAGCAGCCCTTTAAAGTCAAATATTCACACTTCACAGTGAATTAGTTCGGTAAGAGTCACACTTCACTTAAACTTAAATTTTTGTTATGGTCTTGTTTGTTTGATCTAATCTTTTTGAACATAAATTAGCCATTTCAGTTCATTTAGATCCACCATTGTTGAACAAAAATATTACGAGTATTTAAACTTGTATTTGGCTTATGAAGATGAAAAAATATACGTAGTATTGAGATTTCTTCTTTAGTAGTTTAGAAGTACTTGTTTTTATTGTAGTTTGAGTAAGTTTGATTTTGATAATTGGATTTTTTAATTACTTTTGATAGGCGTGTTTGAACTACTCATTGTAGGTTTAAAATTGTTCGTTTGTGTCTAGAGAGTCATTTGTTTTATACGAGGTGACTGATTTATGTTTGTAACTGTCTGGAGGTCTTTTATGCTTTCTTTTATGTTAATATAAAAGGCGTTCTTTTGTTTTCAAAAAATAATTTGGTAAAAAATTGATGTAAAATAATCTAAGTATGGCTTTAATCAACACGATAAATATTTTGAAGGTACTGAATTTGAAGAAATAACTAAATCAACACGATAAATACATATACAACAATTTGAGATATAAACAGGTCAAAAATTTGATGTATTGATATAAAAGGTTGTTTTGTTGAAAGGTATAAAAGGTTTTTATTATAGCGAATGTGGCCTATACTAATTATGGAAGTTGTAGAAGTATTTTAATTGAAATACCGATAGTAGGGGTGGACTCGGGCCGGTTCGGGCCCGGCCGGGCCTCGGTTCATGAGAGGGGAGGCCCGGAACCGGCCCGGGTAACCCCTGGGTCCGGGTCGGGCCGTGCCTCGGTTCATTTTTTTTTTTTTTTTGCTTTTCCTAATGAACCCCCAACCCTCCCCCCTCACCTCCAAACTTTTGCACCAAACACGTAACTTTTGATTTCGCGTGCTGGATTGTCTAATAAGCAGAAAAAGTAAGATTGAAGTTACTTTTCTGGCTGTATTGGCTGAAGTTATGGTAGAGGATCATTTTAACAATTTTTTCATATAAGTTTTTATTAATTTATTAATAACAAATATTTTAAATATAATTTTTTCATAAATTGGTAGAATCAATCAATACAGCTACTTCAACCAGAACTTCTTAAATTTCAACAGAATCAACCAATACAGCCAATTTTAGTGTTATCAAACGAGCTTGTTTGGCTCACTAGTGCCATGTGAATGTGTGGAGCTGAACAAACTCTAATGAGTCTAATCATGACATTTAAATAATAATAGTAATATTAATATTAGTAATAATTATAATAATTGAATGAACACTGCACGTGATTTAGTGAGCTGTGACTAACAAATAAAGTTGATTTCTCGTGAAGTCGTTTTGTGGTCCCCTTGAGTAGGAACTTTGGTCTGGTGGAAATTCGCGCTCATATTTTCCTTGTCACTAAGTCAAAAGTCTTGGTCGGTCTATCATTGAGCTTTTATACTGTACTACGTAGTTTTCTTATGATCATCTCATTAAATGCACATATTCCAGTTTAACACAATCTGAGATAACAGAGGTGTCTGGTAAAACAATATAAAAACTTAATGCCTCATACCCTGGAATCTTAATCATCCACCAATGTCGTGAATTAAGAATGTTTTCTTTTGGAGTGAAATTTGTTGGTCTGATTTAGGTGCTGTTTGGCAACACATTTTTTCGGCTTATCAGCCAACTTTTTCACCAAACACGTAATTTTCATTTTCGCGCACTGAATTGTGTAATAAGCAGAAAAAGTAAGGTTGAAGTTACTTTTCTGGTTGTTTGGATGAAGTTACTGTAGATGATCATTTTAGCTATTTTTACGTATATTTTTTTAATTTATTTTATTAATATAATATATTTTAAAAATAATTTTATCTTAAATCAGCAGAATCAGCCAATGCAGCCACTTCAGCTAGAACTTGAGAAATTTCAGCAGAATCAGCCAAATCAGTCGATTTCGTGGTACCAAACGGACTCTTGATCTGTTTAAGTCTGGTCTGATAAATGACTGATTTCAGAGTACATTATAACTGTCCAAGTATGATATGGTCTGATCTGTTTAAATCTGGTTTGAATTGATCTGTTCTGGTTTGGAACTTGGAAACAATCCAACAGAAAACATCCTAAGCGCGAATAAGGATACTCAAAATTTGAGTTCAATTTTTTTCAATTGCCCTGTTTCTATTGAATGTAATAGGTCTGGTCTTTAAACCAAAAAATAAGTTCCTCTGGAAGACAGAAAGGCTATTTTTATGACATATGATAAATACCCAAACCCTGATAAAGTAGAATATTGTAATAATCTACTAATATTATTATATTAAATTGGAATCAAAGTGAAAATGGTTTATCAGATTTAAAATAGTTATCTGATGATAAAATCATTGTTTTTATGATGTAATTTTTTCTATCCCACAAAAATTTATTAGCTTTATTTATCTGAAGAGCTTTGTCAATTCAATTTATATTAGTCCGTACATCTCAAAATTATGATCCTATTATTTTTTGTTCCAAACTAGCATGTACCCGTGCGATGCACGGTGGGTGAAATTTTTGGTGGGTAAAAATTGGACATCTATCAAAATTTAATCAGTTATAAAGTTAAACATGATACATCATACAACACATGAATTAAAGGATGATGTGTCAAATAGTAGTCTCAAGTAATAACATCGTTGTATAAAGTGAAATATTACACATTATGGAAAACTTCTTTGTAAACAACATTCATTGTTTCATCCTCTGGAAGACCATCTTCATTTTGAATGAGGATTTTGAGACCGGCACGATTGGTTACCCTTGACACTGCAACATATAACTGTCCATGACTAAACACTGGTTTTTTCAGAAGGAGACCAACATGACTGAGAGATTGGCCCTGACTTTTATTGATAGTCATTGCATAAGAAACCATAATAGGGAATTGTCTCCTTTGAAATCTAAATGGTAATCGAGTATCAGACGGTGTCAAAGTCAACCGTGGTATTAAAACTTTTTGTCCCACACTCATACCATTCAAAACCATACCTTCTAAGATATGATCGCACATCTTTGTTATGATTAGTCGTGTCCCATTACACAAACCCATCGAGTGATCAATATTACGCAAAAGCATGATTGGGGTCCCAACTTTCAAAGTTAATACATGATTTGGCAGTCCAGAAAGCTTTATACTGTTCAAGAATTCCGGAGTGTGCAACTCTGCGATTAGATCATGTGTGGCATCGGATTTGCAAACACTGTCTGAACTAAGGTAGGTTCTCGACACTTCCTTAGTATTCAAAGCCGTCATATAGTCATTAACAGAATCAACTACATCAAGAGTGGGAGCAAGAATGGCTCTATCTCTCAAGTAACTCAAATTCGTACTTGATTTTTGATAATCAGGATAAATTGTCTCCACAATCTTAGCAATTGGATCTCCTGAGTACTTGATCAAGATGTCATCGGGAATTTTAATGGAGACACAACCGTCATTTATTTCACCAGCAATACCATCACCTATACTTGCAATCCATTCAGCAAACAACTTCAAGTCATAACTTTCTGTTGGGCTACTTACGTTTTGCAACCTCATGTTCTTGGTCAACCTAAGAACAGTGCATTCCCCCCACAAGTAAGAAGAATTAATGGTAGCATTAACAACCTCCTGTCTACTTCCATGCGGTATTACGGGCAACACCTGGCGAAAGTCACCTCCAAAAACAATTGTCTTACCACCAAAGGGCAAGTTCAGACTGTTTGGATTGGTGAATCTAAGAATGTCACGCATGCTTCTATCCAATGCCTCAAAGCAAAATTTGTGAAGCATCGGAGCCTCATCCCAAATTATCAATTTACACTTGGTAATAAGTATAGCGAGGGGACTACCTTGCCTTATATTGCAAGTGGAGTCTTCATTCAAACTAATTGGAATTGCAAAACGTGAGTGCGCAGTTCTCCCTCCAGGCAGCAGTAAAGAAGCAATGCCGCTAGATGCCACATTTAATACGATGTCCCCTTTGGATCGCAAGGCAGCCGATAGAGTTCTCCAAACAAATGTCTTCCCAGTTCCGCCATATCCATAAACAAAGTACATGCCTCCACACTCTGTATCAACTGATTGCATAATCTTTTCATAAACAATACGTTGTTCATCCGTCAAACCCTGAAACAAAGTCGTATGCTGCTCTCGCATCGCGAGACGATCATACATCAGCTCTTGTTGAACAAATCTATTGTCAGATAGTAAAGTAGAGCATGGCTCGGGACATGGCATAGGAGGATAATCATGTAGGCTTTTGCCTCGTCTTTGCAACAACTTTTCAAGCTCCACCAATGCCGCCATTTGCAATTCTTCGTTATCCATTACAAATCCTGCATTGCATGGAATGATTATATCACTTAAACTAACAATCAAAAGTGATGCACTTTAAAAATCACATCACTTAATGTGTCAATGAACCCAAACAATTACAGAAATAGATTCCCATATACCTGGATGTTGATACATCTTACGTAGTTTATATTGAATATCTTCTGCCATGTATATCCAACATTTTTCCCAAACATATTCTGGTCGACTCATTGATTCTGACCACAACAATACCACAAAAAGTATTCTTAATGCAAACGCTGTGGCAAAATCACTTGCTTCAGTGAAACCATCAACGAATTCTTTATCATCGTCTAGAAGTCCCAGCGCATAGCAAGTTTCGCGATACGTGTTATATAACACACCATTTACCGTCCTCAAATCTTCATGGCATGTCGCTCCTCGAATATGGTTCAATAAACACCTCATATGATATGATTCACCACACCCAGGCGGAACGTAGTATATTCGGCCAATTGCGAATGCTTTTTTCCTTGGCATCCATTCCCTTGAAGCACTTTTCCATACAAATTTTTGAGGGAACTCAGCATATGTCAGCTGCCTCGCCATCTCATACTTTTTGTTAGCCTCCATCCAACCCAAAAACATGCTATCCTTTACACTCCTCCCTCCCAGCACAGAATTAAGAGGATCATTATCCGAGAAGATCACTGTTTGCTCTCCTTTCAAATGAAAACTAAGGCGTTCAACAGGAGGATTCTTATACTGAATCTGAAATCCGAGTATACGCCATGCAGCCTCACATGGAGATATGTAGCGGCAATCATAATACATTTTGATTTCATCCACAGGTCTACTTTCCTCATGTCCACCTGCACTACTAAAAAATCCCGCAGTGACCCGATCGCGTCCTTTATTAATGTACTTGAATAAGTATTTGATGGATCGAGATTGGTTGCACCACTCTACATTGATATGGCCACCGTATTTCATCAACAAAAACCGGTTGTGCGGAACGACAAATCGATTATCAAGCGGGACATTGTTTTTTTCGATAGTTCGACCATCATCTCTTCTCCTATAAACTGGATAACCATCAGCATCAATAGATGTGACATTGCACCAAGCTTTAGGGAAATGTTTGGTACACCTTTTGTTGGCCATACATGGAGCATATTTAACGTATGGGCCACACGGACCATGCATCATAAAATCACGAACTGCATTGTAATATCGTGGGTCCTCGTCTCTATCAGGAATCTCTGCCGAAATAATTCTATCAATATCAGTAGGCGTTGGCAATTTGTCCTCACTTGCAAGCCATAGCAATATGTGTGCATGAGGCAATCCTCGTTTTTGAAACTCAATAGTGTAGACCACTACAAAATAGAATATAATATTACAATGACACACCAGAGACAATGTAAATTTGTATTTATTAAGGTTGAAGAAAATATACCTGCACTCACACTCCCAAACACCTTGTTACGGCGCAAGTCTTTCATAAGACCATCTAGTTTGATTTTAAAAACACGGCATACAATATCAGGACGATCTTCAGGTTTAAGATTCCTTTCGCGTAAAAAGCGCTCGATCTCAGGCCATTTTGGGTTGCACGTCAGCGTGATAAACAGATCAGGGTACCCTGCCCATCTACATATTGCCATTGCATCTTGGTAGTTTTGAATCATGTACCTTGCACCACCAGTGAAGGTTGGGGGCAACACAATCCTCTTTCCTTGAGTGGTTGGATCATTCTCCCCCCGCAAAAAAGCATCATTTAAACCTTTGTACATTGCACAACGAAGTTGTCGTTGATGCGTTCTAACATACTTCAATCTTGCTGACTCTATTAAAGTATAGCCATCAACAACAAATTGTTGGAATAGTCTTTTAGCCTTCAAAACAATGGAATATCTATATTCCCTCTCTTGCAAGCGATAGGCCAAAAACTCTCGTATGCTTACATTGCGCCTACCTGAGCCAACAACAACCCTAGAACCGGAAAGTTTAATATCCTCTCGATAACCATCCTCACCATATGGAAACAATAATGGATATTGCAAGCCAAAATATGCAGGATTAAGTTCATTAATACGCTGCAATTTTCCGGTTTGGGTCTCCACCAAGATATCTCTCACACCCATAGACTCATCAAAGTCTCCCACAACTAAAGCCGCAACTTCTGATACAGTGGGGAGGTTATACGTTCTTGCATCGTTAGTTCGATTACCTATCAACCTCAACTTCACGTCAACACTCTCACCTTGATGAATCATTTCCTTAGCCATTCTAAACGATTTCACCAAGACATTGTGCTCATTCAACATGTTTCTCAAGTCTTCAACGATCGAAATATGTAGTCGTTCTGCATTAGAATCCCCTCTGCAAATATGAAATTAATTCGGATTGATTTTCTTTGATCAACAATATTTCGAATGAAATAGAATAAGTTAATGATCATTGTAAACATAAAATCACCTCACAGATTTTATTCTGTTCTGAAGCTCATTCTCAGTATCGTAAATATATAACTGTGCAAATTTTGGAGCCATTCCAATCATGGGCATCAAACTTCCAATAAGGTGATAATTTTGACCATGCAGTTTAAAAATTGGAGGAGACCTTCCTCTGTTAATTGTACTCTCAATCCGACCACCCATAGATGTGAAAGCAAACATGCTATTATAAGATCTGATATTTTCAAGAAAATGCTTGCTCCGTGCATCTGTTCCCTCAAATAACGCTTGCAACAACAACGGCGGGTCCTTGTTGTCTGGAAGTTTCACCTTACCTTGTGCACAACAAAGGGAATACTTCGGATTTTCCTTTGTAGAACTCGATTCATTCCTCTCTTCATACCAAAACAATGCTTCACAACTTGGGCATACACAATTTGGATCGCCTATATCCCATAAGTCTGAGATACAATTAGCCAACATTACATCACACATTAAATAACCATCTTATAAAATTAAAAACACATACGATTTAAGAATATAGTATCGTGTAGCTTGTATATAGCCTGTAAGAAAAAGAATGATTTTAAAGAAAGCTAACCATAATCTGCTTTACCACTCACGCAGCTTAGATTTTCATAATCAACATATTCATCGTCTACATCAACATCATCGATATCTACATCTCGTGTGAAATAACTACACGAAGCAGTTGTAGTGTCATTAATTGTATCATCCGGATTACTAAATGAATCTGATGCACACACACTGTCACATTGCATCTTTTCATTTAGAATTGGACTCACAATGGATGGCTGGCAAGAAATCACACTTGACACTGCAGCACATGTAGTTGACATAAACATTGTATTACTATAAGATAATAATTGCAAATGATAGAAAATAAGTACAATGACCAAATACTATGTGCTAAAACATTAAGTCCATGAAGTTTGTTATGCTTACCACTATGGACATTGACCAAAGGAGAAACAGTCGTAGATATTTGCTTTATAGTTCCCATGACACTGGTACCAAGAGATTCACAAAATCTAGCATTTTGCAAAATTCTTCGATTTTCATTTCGTTCACTGTCACTATCATCTGCAAAAATAGATGGTTAAAAAAATCTATAACTTTACATAAAATTACAAAACAAAGAATATCATTTACATAAAGTTAAGGGAAAAATAAGTAAAATATCTCGAACTTTGAAAGGGTGTGAGATAAACACCCAAACTTTCATATGTTATTTAAATATCCCAAACTTTAATAAAAAGTTATTTATAAATCATGGTTACGCATTATTTATTTCCAAAATGTCAATTTATGGTGTTAATTCCATAATTTAAATAGCAAATTGAAAACGTTTCTATTATATATAGTGAGGAGTAATACTATTTAATTTACAATTGAAATTTAGAATGTTGATTGTATCTTTATGGGTGGTAAAATATTTTAAATTATGAAATTAACACCAAATATTAACATTTTTAAAAGAAATAATACATGACCATGGTGCTGAAATAACTTTTTATATAAAGTTTGGGGTATTTAAATTACATTTGCAAATTTGGAGTGCTTACCGCACACCCCTTCAAAGTTTGGGGTATTTTAATTATTTTTCCTAAAAATCAAATTTGATGAAAGTAATTTAAAATGAAAATGAACATTAAAATTATAATACATAAAATTATTGAAAAAATATACATCATACAGAAATTTTATGATGTTTTTACTTGGACTGTAATTTGTCCCAGACCA